TGGGCACAAATTTGCATAACTTTACTTATTTCGTTCCAAGTGACAATTTTCGTCGAAGTATTTTAGAATGTGAACGCAGGAGGAAATAGCAAAGGCGTTACTCAATTGACCCGACCTTCTCACTCGACCTGAATGTACGATAAATTAATCAGTATTCGTGACATTTTGTTGGTTTTGCTTTCGAGTATGACATTATTTCCGGACTGCTCTTTTGAATCCGATCGTTTGAGTGAAATTTTAATTTGTATTGTGAAAACGTTTGCATGTACTGCAATTATTGGGTTAAAATATAAATCTGCTCCGATTCTTGTCACAGTTTATCGTCAGACATTTCTAAAATCTTGGGGACAATATCCAGAAAAAAATATAGATACTACAATATCGGCATTTAACAACAAAATTAAATCGTTATTACGGAATAAATATTATAGTTTTTATATTAATGCATTGAACTGTATGAAAAGAGTTCGTCAGAAAAACATTGTGCTTGGAATTTCAACTAGTGCGTAGATTTTGTTTCATCACGGTTTCATCGTTAGAAACGTCGCAGCGTTTGGCCCCTCTGTTTTTGCGTTCGCAACCGTGAAGGTTGTGTTTCCTGATTAAGAAATGGGAACGACGGCGATCCGAAAGTGAAGTCGCCGGCCCGCTCTCATTTGTTCTCCTGCAGCGAAAGAAAAAGGGAGCAGCGCGCGCATTGATTTTCCCCGCCCCCGCTCCCGCCCCCGCTCCGCCCTGGCCTCCCGCCCGCCGCCTCGCCCCGCCCCGCCCCCGCCCCGCGCCTCCGCACACGTCCCGCCCCGCCAACCGAGCCACCGCTCCTCTCCCGCGCCCGGAACTCTCGAAGTCCGATGCGACCTCGCGCGCGAGATTACGAGCGGCGGGCGTCAAGCGCAAAGTGGATAAGGGATTGCTTCTGTGGTTGCTCCGTTCTCAGGCCGTTGCCCGTCCCGCCGAACAGCTGGAAAACAACATGGAACGCGGAAAATCATGGAATTTCAGTATTGTGCTGGAAAAGTCAGAAGAGAATGAGAGAATATTGTAGAAAATTTTGAGAATTGATTATAAAATCAATATTATCTTCCCCCCCCTCCCAAAAGGCCTTTAGAGAATTTATTTTGCTCAATTCCAATACAATAATTACAATTAAAATAATTTTGCTTAATTTGTTGATTTTTTTAAATTTGTGCTTTATCGTGGTGAAATCAGAAAGCTGATAAATTAGTTTCAAGCTTGAGTTAATATTTTCTTTCATTACCGTCAAATACTGTACAAATTCTAAGAGAAAAGTATTTTTTAAATGCACTGGAAAACAGAGAAAAGTCAGGGAAAATGTGATTGGCGGAAGTAAGGGGCCACCCTGTCTTCCCACCACCGCTCGCCTTCACGCCAGTCTTCGCAACTACCCGACAAGCAACTCTGTTCAGCTGCGTCACTCCCGTTGTCACAGCAACTAGCGCTACGCACCACCGCGTAACTGTACACCACCCACCGCCTCTGCCTCCCCGGCACCAACCGCACGTCACGCCCTCGAGCCCCCTGGCCGGCGCACATCCGCTCTCAAGCGACGCCTCGCTCTTCGCACGGGGCTATTGCATCTTTATCACGTCCGCCGCCCACGCCCTGCTCCTCTTCCCGCGCCCGCCACTCCTACGCTTCCGTCCCTCCATCTCTCCCGCTTCGCCCCCGCCCCGCCCATGGCGTGGCGTCCGCAGGGGCCGCTCCACCTCCGCCTTGCGGCGTGGGAGCGTCAGCGCAGGGGCGGGAGCGGGAAGGCGTGGCTGGCACCCATTGTGCCGACGCAGCCCTTGGCCTGCGAGCCTTTTCGCCTCCGTCCCCCCCCTCCTCTCACCGCCCCGTGTTCTCGACCTCCGGCACCGTTCCCGGCCCCGCCCCCGCGTCGCCCGCGCGGCCCCCTGTCGCTAGCGCCGCATCGCCCCGGGCTGCAAAGAACGCGCCTACTGTCGCTTCGTGCAGCGACCTGGAAAGGCGGCATCCGAGACCCGTGTGAACGGCACGAACAGCCACTCCTGGTAGACCTCCATTCATAACGCTCTCCGTAAAACACTCATATGTATGCGAAGATTCCATATCGCCGTACATTACATTCGAACTGGCGTCTTTGAGGCTGGCAAATTTACATCTTGTAATAACTACTTGTTAAATAGGACATGAAGTGTACCAATGCTTTTTAAATGATGCAAATTTCGTTTTTCTCTCCTCATTTTCGTGGATTTTCAACTGACGCTACTTGAAAATCCAATTCAGTTAACATGCAACTCTTCAACATTTACAGGCTGTTCAAAGCTGTGTTTGAGGGAATGCAAATTAATTGTGATGATTACTGCCTTAATACTTTCTCGTATACTATTTACGAACTTTGGAGGAAGGATTGAAATTCTGTGGCTAAAAATGCGATTTTTCGGCAAAAAATCTTCGTTTCTTGATATCGAAGAAATAGATAATTATTACTCCTTCTAATAGAAAATAACTTTCTCTAAAACGTTGTGTATTCAGAATCTATGGTTTGTGGGTCCTTGATATCGAAAAATTGGTTTATGGCAAAACGACTGACCCTGTCCGTATGGCAAAGAGTTGTGAATAGCGCTAAAAGCTCAACCGTAAGCAGAATCCTCACCAAAATAAATTTTCTCCGGTTGATCTGTCTGATATAGTAGTCCCTTGAGTTTGAAACGGATATTTTTATTTTGAGGTTTACTTTACATGAAGCCCCAACGACATTATCAATTTTTTTCATAAAAAAAAGCACCAATTTTTTTTCTTTAAATTCTTTCCTTGAATGGAATAATCTTATAAAAATAGCGCATGTCCTATTTTTGAACTGTGTTTTTTTTAATGGCAAAATTTACAATAATCCTGGAAAGTATTTGCTGTTTAGGCACTACAAGTGTCTTATTGGGAAAGTAAATTAAATTGTTATAATTTGTGATTCAATTTTATCAGCAAAATTTTAAGATTGCTTAAAATTGTTTATTTTCAACAAACCGCATGCTTCCTTTTATGCAGCCAGTTATTTATTTTGTCATTTCTTTTGACAACTTGAAAGGTTGTGAGTGAGTGATTATGATAAGGTGTGTGTGTGTGTGTGTGTGTGTGTGTGTGTGTGTGTGTGTATTTGTGAGCGCGTGTGGTGGGTGCGTTCGTGCATGCTTACGTATTGCATCGATCTTTTTTTATACTTCATTTCCGATTGCAAACGTCAGTACGTTTTGTTCCCTATTTTCAAACATTTCCGAATCACTTATAAGCAATGAAATGGGATCACTTATCTGCAAACGCTTTCTGCACTTGTTTTAGAGTCAAGATTTGTGACATATTTATATAGGCTACTTCTTCTTCGATCGCTTTATACTTTTTTTTTCTTTGGAGCTGAAAGATTTGAATTTGATTGCCTGTATTTTGTGGTGGACTTATTTCTTCGCTGTAGTGTTTAAAACCAGCATTCAGATGCTTCTGTCAGAAACCACGATATTTACAGTCCGGAACTTCAAACGGAGAACCAGTTTGTGTCCAGGCAACGAAACATTTTGATTTGTATATTAACATTAGCTTTATGTTATAATGTAAACGATACCATTGCAGTTTACACGTGACACCTCTTTAACTTATACTATTTGGTAAATTGTTTGAAATGAAAAAGTAATATAAAATTAAAATAATTATTTTTCGTGTTTAACCTGTCGCCTGCAGAGTGCAACAGGCGAGACATTTCTGGTGAGATCTGATTTCAAAGAAGTTCGAGAAACTTGGTAACACGTTTTTGCTGATGTCATTTTAGGACTCTGGCCATGTATTGCGTGCAATCCTTGCTTGAGTCAATGATTATTAATACACTGTTTTCTCTGACCGGGAACTGCCGAAAACACAAATTGACGTTTACCAAAGTTTACTTAATGACCTAATGTACGGTGCGATAAATGAAGGTCATATTTAGAACAACCTTCAATTAAAACAGCATAGGAAACCATAAGAGCAATAACTTTATTTTAATTTGCAGTTAATGATTTCGAAATTAAAGGCCTTTATCACATTTGCTGAAAAATTGTTTATATTTTCTGTCTTTTCATTAACTGAGAAACATTAAGACACACATTTACGAATTGCTAGGTATTTCATTTTATTTAGAAATAGGATGTGAAGAGTCACTTGAATTTTTGAAATTGTTTTGTATCACACATTTGAATATCATAAAATTCACCAAGGATAGTAAGTATAATATTGTAATGGCTTATGGTTAATGGTTATGGCGTAATGATTGTGGCTTTTATTGGAAATATAAAAGTTAAAACTGGAGCTTTAGCATTGATTATAATTTTGTATACGATACTGCGCTGTTAAATAATTACTAGTTTACGTACTAATTGATTCATGAAAATGTAAAAATGTGTGAAATATGATTGAATGGATTGTGGGCACTTGTTTCTAAAATACGGTATTAGGACGTTGCTGTACAATGAAACTTCTGGAAATTGAATTGTGTTTGTCTGTAATTGAGTTAGTGTAGATGCGAATAAAGTATGAATGAGAGACAATGAAGGAAACCTATTTGAAGGGGCCCAGAAAACTGCATTCTCAATCCTTTCTGTTAAATTTTGTATTCACCGAGCAGATGAATGGGTGCGAGATACCGGCCGGGAAAACCCCGCTAGCCGACGGTAGGTCGGCACCGGTTCTCACCATTCGGCTGTGCGATCATCACCATCCTCGAGCTGAAACATACTACATTTACGCGACAAATTGTCTTAGCCGTTGACCTGCCCGGAATCACTAGCAATGAATCATTAAAACATCTGAAATTGTCGCAGGTACCGCGAGGGCGGCGGGCCGCAGCCGGGCGCCGGGCTGCTGGCGTCACTGGCGTCGTCGTCGGGCCTGACGGCGCCCGCGGGCTACGAGGACCTGGCGCGCGACATCGACGCCAACCTCGCCGAGGTGGACATGGAGGACTTCCGCTCCGAGGACATCCACTCCGTGCTCAGCACGCTGCCCGCCATGTGCTGCGGGGACCTCCAGGTAGGACTCTCCGCCCTCGGGCCCTTTTCGCGCTTCTCGTTTTGCCTCTTGGGGCCTGGTGTCTTTGAAATAGCTTGCTGTACGATGCAGGAATGGAGGGCATCCTCTACTAAAAGCTTTATTTGGAAGACCACCCTGATTCGGCTGAATGTCGTAACAGACACAGGATTTATCATTCATAAACATCGAGTTTCCCAGAGCTTGTGTTAATGCTGTGTTCTTTATAGTATAAATAGTAACCAGCCCTTGTTTTGCAAATTATCATAGGTGATACCATGAATGCTTTGGAAATTATCGATAAATTCCCAACTCGCGATGCAAGGAAAGGATTTATCTGAGAATTTCCGAAGCACGAGCGGTATTTAATAGGATTATTCCACGAGTGAAATTATGTCAAACAGAGATCCAAAATGCGCCAAACGTGTAAAATAACTGAAAACTTGAGACATAGCAATCGATGTAGTATTCCACCACCTAGGATAGACGAGTCACATTTTATGATTGTCCAGAAGGGAGAAGCGGTAAGAAAAATTGAATAGAAAAAGCGGTCTACGTTTTGAGATTTTGAATCCGCTCTGAATGAGGCATTTTGTGTGTATAGTTGAACACTATTAATTTTAATTTCACAAATGGAATAGTCATAGTAAAATTCTGAAGCTGTCATTTTAAGATAATTTAATTTGGTTTATGAATGAATCAGTGGTCATCAGTTTCGTAAACGTATTTCGTGTCCTCTGATATCATAGACCTTTCCTTCACGTGACTGTGACAAGTGCAATGCATTCCGTGACGCATTGGTAAGGTATTTCAAAGACACAGCACATCGCATTTTGAATCGTGTAATTTAGCTTCGTTTCAACATTGAACACAGTTCAGAGTAGCCATTAATAGCTTTTTTTATGTAGATAAAGCATTCAATGTGCATGAAGACGAAACAGTTATTTCATGATCAGCTAATTTACAAAAGATTTGGACATTGTTGAGTTTCTTTATAACATTTAATTTTCGGCAGGCATGAAAGCGTCTTTCGATATTAAGTTTATAATTTAAGAAGACATTTTAATTATAAAATTTCCTCAGAGGCAGGCACAATGCGCAGAATTCCGCTCTGTTTTGTCTTTCTTAAAACATTTCTCTGTGATACCGTAGTTGAAATTGTTGGTATCTTTATTTAATCTTATAGCTTTACGCTATTACGGAAAATGACTTGTGTTGCATTTCTGTAATTTTTTGTTCACTTTTCGAGCTGTTAAAGCTGATGAATGGTTGCACACCTATTCACTTTTTGTCTTCGCATGCTATTTTCATTGTCTCCTTTGTGCCCTTTTTGCGCGCGTTCGTGGTCGGCATGAGGCTACACGAAGCTCCATGGCCAGTGCATGACTCCTCATTCAATTAGCATTCAAATGTCCAAATGACGATCAACGTTACAAGTTAGATGTGTGTACTCGTTAAATTACTTTCCAATTGGCTATTTAAATTATATGTCCCTCTAATTGGCTATTCAAATCATGTGTCCTTATGTAAATAATCATTAATGTGTTTACATTGTAAATAGTCACTAATGTGTGTGTATACAGTGGCGTTCGTACGACTTCGTGGTACAGGGAGTAGTTTATGCAAAGAAATCTTCTCTGGGCGCCATGTAGAATTTTTTTGTTGCAAATCAATAAAAACTATCAACGAAATAGTAACCATCCACTGTATTGGTTGTTTCGTTTTCTTGTTTATTTTTTCATACATTTCTTCTTTTGCTAAAAAAATCATGTCTGTGTTAACATTTATGAATAGAAATAGAAAAAAGGGTATACCATTTCAAAGTACAGGCGCACGGTTTGTTTTTTTCAATTTCCCTTCTAATTTATGTTTATTGGTCCCTCATGTGTATTTCGAATAGTGAAGGCGGGGAAGTAGGATTTTGAACTGGATACTCGGGACTAATGTCAGCCGAACCTTCACTTGTGGGCTTCTGTTCTTTTATTTCGTACGCACGCCACTGTACTTGTGTTAATGTGACCCCTCTGTCAAATTGTACAATCGTTGTGTTGATTGTGGCTAACCCGCCCTTGGAGTGTTGGGGTGCTGGTGTGTGTTGGGGTGTTGGTGTGACGCACTGCCCTTGTTGCATGCTCCGCCCCGCGCATGCCCCTTGCCCCATCGCGCAGGCTGCGTGCGAGCCCGGCGGCGAGATGTTCGCGAGCGTATCCGGGTCGCTGCTGGCGCGCCTGGAGATGGACGCCTCCTCCGCGGGCAGCCCGCCCTCTTGCGGCTCCCAGGTGGGTGCGCTCGACCCGACCCGACCCGACCCGACCCGACCGGACCCGACCCGACCCGACCTCACCTGACCCGACGCCCCCGCGCGGCGGCGGTGGTGCAGGTCCAACGCACGACATGGGTAGAAGAAGGACGAGAGATAACGAGAAGTAGAGGCAAGAGTACGGCAATGAGGGAGAGAGGTGGAGAAGTCGAACTGGGCAAAAGGGGCAGGGGAAGTGAACGGGAATGGACGAGGTGGGCGGGCGAGGGAGGGACAGGAAGAAAGCTGGCTAGGAGAAAGAAAATAATCATTTAACGAAGGTATGGATATCAGAGAGAGGTATGGGAAGGCACACAAGAGGATAGAAAGATGAGAGGGTTAAATAAGTGGGGAGGGGAAAAAGGGAGAAGAGGGGGAGAGGAAGATTACTAGAGGAAGGAAAAGGGAAAGATAGGAGTAAGTCATAGAATGAGAAGAACAAATTCATGAAAGAAGAGCCATAAAGGGAGCAGATGTTGGATAAAATTAACGAGACGTTGGCCTTAAAAAAAGGGGAAGATAACGAGGATGAGAAATGTATGAAAATAGAGGAGAAAATCAAGGATGAGAGAGCTTATGTGAGAGAAAAAGGGAAAGGAACTAGGGTTGGACAAATTAATAAGATATTAGAAAAAGGACGATGGGAGGGAGGAATAAACTGAACGAGTAGAGGGAAGTAGAAAAACTTGAAAAGAAGGAAGGAGATAGAGAAATGGAGAAAGAAAGATAAATGACATAATTACGTCAGTGTAACCTGCTAATTTCCTATGGAGTTGTTGACAGGATTTGTGACGTTGATTCGCATCGAAAAGCAGCTTATCTTTATTGGATTTCATTGTTAATGAGGTCCGATTTCAATCTGCGGTCATGACAAACTCCGTGTTGGAGGGTGACTCAAAACGTCGATTCAGATTGTAAAAGAAACCACATCGTCCACATGAAGACATATTGTAGAGGTAGCGCGATTCTGATATAGATCGCGTGCGCAGATGTTGATGGACGTGTTAAAGGCCGTCAGAACGAGACTATTCAGTATTCTTCGCACTGACTCATGGTCGTCCCATTGGTTTGCGAACACTTTCGTCCGCATATGTAACTTCTATGTGAGGAGGTCAGCCTTTCATAGTATGGTTCGCTGTTCTGAATTGAGACTATCATGTGTTGCAAATAGACATTTAACTTTGGTGTGCCAAATTCGAGACGTTCTTATACCATACAACCTCCGCTCACTCATGCTATTTCAAACACACAATCTCGTAAGTAACGTTTCAGAACTCCAAAATAATGGGTTTGACTTAATTCTGTAACATGTTAGAAGAGAGCTTGGAAAACAAATACCGTTCTAAAGATTTTAAAAAAATGTGCTATGATTTTTCGTTAAAAAATATAGCATTAGAAATCGTTCTAAATAGGCAGCCAGTAAAATTTGTAGGTGGTTAGAGGTTACAGTTGTGAACCGTTAAATAGACGTCTCGAAAGATGGAGTCGCAAACTGCAAACAACCCAAACTAAACGTGTCTGTCCCTGTGACGAGTTCTTCAGTTTTCCTTTTACTAATAGTGGTAAGAGTAAATGCGTTACTATTTTGTCAGCAACTCTAAAAAATAAAGTCTGTAATTTGTTCAACGATTCAAATAAGTTTTCTATAATTCGAAAGCGAAAATGTCTTGTTTTTGGATATTGCTAACCTCGCTTACGCGTAGTTCTGTCCCGGATCTCACCATCCAGCGGGGGAAAATGCGTAACACTTACCAGACTAATGTCATTAGCAGTTGACACGCTCGGAAACACAAAATAACCAATCAGTTGGCAAATCAGTCGTCCCGTGGTCGGGGGTGCGGCGCTGGGAGCCCGTGGGGACGACGGCCTTGCAAAGCGATACCACTAGGAGAGTCGCGTCGTCTGATAGGATAATTGGGAGATTCGATGTAGCGACTGTCATAACAGGATAATTCCCGATGGTGAGGTCAGCACTTTCAGTGAAGAACGTCGATTCGATCGGTGGCAATTTAACAGCGGAAGAAAAAATTAGTGGTTTAATAAAGAGTGTTTAATTTTGGCAGGCATGTGTTACGCGGTCATTGTGATAATCAACGTGCCTTTCCAAACGCGAAGTGTAGAACCCCTGCACAACTCTTCTTATTATACTAATTCTCTATTGTAAATGTTCTGAGGACAAAAAAAAAGAAGCAATTCATCTTCGACTTTAAATTCTTAAGTAAAATGATATTTGAATGACTCGCTATTTTATACGCAAATGGTGTCTTTGACCCCGTATTCATTTCCAAGCAATACGCTTCACTCAGACACCTAAGAGTGAGTATAAGTGGAAAAGCCCCTCCCGAAAATAAAATGAAACAACTTGATGTTAATCGTTTGAATGTTGGCGATTGTAGGTGCTATTAAACTACTACTATCCAAGTGTTACTACAATCCAAGTAAATATCGTAAATTGTATCACAATCTTTAGAAAACTAGAATATACTAGAAAAGAAAATGTGATAAAATTTCGTAAAAATAAAGTCGAAACGAAGCTTCCGATTGGATAACCGCATCTCAGCTGAACAAACGCCAGAAGTCATTCTAAATAAATCGGAGAATAGTTTGGGTTCATCTCGCGTCACATGAACACTTATCAAGTTCTTTCTCAGGAAAACAACTGGGAGAGGTGGCTCACAGGGAGAGGATGTCACTGCAGTGCCTCTGACCGGGAAGTCGTAAGTTCGAGTCCTGACGGAAGCAGGATTTTCTGCACTAGCTTGCCAACTAGGTCGAATTCAGTCGCTGTGTGGAGGAGAATTCTAGCGACCGACTCCTCTGATCGGTAATTTTCCCTGGTTTCTCCGATCAACACCAAGCGAATACCGAAGCAGTTCCCTAAAAAAAATGGGCACGGATCGCGCGATCTTTCCTTCCTCTTCCGTGTTCTATTGTCATCCGTTACATACACACACACAAACATGCACTACACTACCACACATATCCCGGTGAGGAGCTTAGAGCTTGTCCCGGCAGTGCCGATGGGATACACCTGGTTTAGAGAAACTCCGCTAACCGACGATAGGTCGGTGCCGTATCTCGTCATCCTGCAAGAGAATATCACCGCCACCTCCAGTAAAAGAAATACAGTTACGGGACTAATGACCTTAGCAGTTGATGGGACCGAAATCACTAATAATCAATCAACCCAGGAAAACCCACAACTGACTTGGGAGCTGGGCTCACGTATTCGGGTTCTGATTTCTCGAAGTCGGCGGGCGGTCGCGCCCGCTGTAAGTCGCGCCTTGCCCTTTGCGCCCGGCTCCGCACCATGACGTGAGCCGTGCGCAGCCTGAGTCATCGCGAGCGATGACGATGGCGGCTGCGCCGACTCAGCGACGGCAGCTGCTGCCCCAGCCGGCCTATCTCTGCCTCGAATCTCTGCGGCGCGCGTGGGGCTTGTCTCAGCGCCCGTACGCGCCGTGCCGAGGGCCGCTGCGGAAACTGTGTGTGGGCGGTGCGCACTTTTCTTCTGACCGCGTTTTGGGGACGATTACGCAAGGTACATGAGAGCCGTTTTTTTCGGAACATTTCAGACCGGCGACCGAGATCGCTAAGGCAGTTGTACCGTAGCGATCTCGGACAGAAGGATCGCGGGTTCGAGTCCCGCCTTGGGCATGATTGTATTGCGTTCGTTCTTTTCCCCCCTATCATCATATCGTGTCAACCTCACAGTTACGATACCATTATAAGCAATAGTGGTCGCTAATGACCTAGACGTTGATGCGACCTTAAATAACAAAGAAAAAAATCGTAGGTGGTGTACATGGTTTCAAGTTCCTGGTAATTTTCAGACCAGCTTAAGTTACTCAGCCCGTCAACTGATATCAATGGAGTGGCTCAGACCGGGGGTTCCTAGGATTCGTGTCCCGACGGTGGCAGAATTTGCGATACTAGCTAGATAGCTGGGTCGAATTCGATCGCTGTGTGAAGGAGAATTCTTGCAGCCGACTGCTCTAATGGTTGTTTTCTGTGGTTTCTCCGACTATCAGCACGCGAATGCCGGAGTAGGATCCTAAAAACGGGCCACGGAACGCACGTGGCCTCTCTTTCCACTCCCTTCTCCTATCCTGACCCCTTATTTACATTTACATGCACTACACCACCACACACGTCGGGAACTTCGAGCTTGCCATGTATGGGACGGTGTCGCGTTGTTAGAAGATACCTGGTTGGGGAAAACTTCGCCAGCTGATGTGGAGGTCGGAGCCGGATCTCGCCATTCAGCGGGGGAACTTCACCGCCACCCTCCGAGCAAAAGAACGTGTAAATCAATTACGATATTGACGTCCTCAACAGTTGACGCACCCGACAACACTAAGCAATCAATTGAAAAAATCAGCGTTTACTGGGCGAAGATTTTGCAGGACAATCAATCAATTTTTTAGAATGGACATTTTATTTCAAATGATATATTTTTTCCAAAAAGTTCTTCATATAACAATTATTTTACGTGATTGTTTTATTATTTACCCGAATAAAATAATAATGTTCTTATAAATCATTCTTACCAAGTCGATTCCGCCAACTCCTTTACTTTATCACAGAACACATATGCCAAACTTGTCCCGCCCCATTATAGTTCTATACATCTTTACGAGCATAGGACGGGCTTTATTGTTAGTATATTTTGAGAATCATAATCCAAACACTGAGGAAGATTAAACCCCGCGATACAAAGCTTAGAATCGTCTTCTTCAATGCTATGTAAGAAAAGTTAAATTAATAAGGTTTGATGTATTTTATTTCCTTACAGAACGTCTAATTATTTGGATTAATATATTTTTTTATTGGCCTGCGTAAGCCAATAGTATAAATAACCCGTAAATTCTCGTCTAGTATTGATAAATACAGCGTTCTTAAAATGTTCCTTATACGAATGAAAAATGTTCAATCATCTTGTAGGATCTCCCAGACCCGATCACAGTTGCAAAACCAACCTTGTCTTCCCGATTCATGTGACGAATCTGCTGTGCTTCTGTCTCCCTTGTGGCGAGACATTCACGGCATCGCGCTGTTCTTCCTGCGACAAACGACTTCGTCCGTCGTGCGTTTCTTGTTCGAGGCATTCCTTCCTTTTGTCTCAGAGGCGGGCCTCAGTGTCTGCTTATTTTAATGGTCTTACGAGCTCAGTCCACACGGTAGATTACGCCATATTCTCTGCTATCCACTTGACAGTAAAGGTTTCGACCAAAAATAAATAAATAAATAAAATAAAAACTCTCTCTCTCTCTCTCTCTCACTCTCACTCTCACTCACACTCACACACACACACACACACACACACACACACACACACCTTATTTGTATCCTCCTAGGAATCGTTCGTGATCAAACATAATTGCACTGACTGACCCTTAGTTATTCTCCTAAACCTGTTATTTGGAAGATATTATTTTTTTCTGCTGGTAATTCTTTAAAAGTTATTTCCCCGAGTGTCAAAGTTATTTCTGGAAATAACGAAAAATTATAATGACGGGTGTGTATCGAAAAAAAAGTGGTGCAAACCAAGCAAACAAGGAATACAAGTACATAAATACCTTTTCAGAAGTATCCAGAGAAACGAAAGATAAATTCTACCACACAATTACTTTTCTGGAACATTACATTTATGGAAATTATTAAACTTTTGAAGCTATTTTGTCACGCTTTCTTCTTGCAGAACAGTAAACAAATTCGTTGAAGGAACTTACATGTAACTTGCCTTAATTTGAAGATACAGAGCAGTCTCATAGTGCGATAGGCTCATTTTAAGGCCGAAAGCACCAAATATTCCATAGTTCTAAGAAACTTCAAAAATTATTTTTATGTTATTTAGGTTAGGTAGGTGTATAACTTAACAATAAAATCTTCGCGACTATCTCCAGAGAAGTTGTCTCTCATCAATTGATAATTCAGAAATTAATATTTACTGATTAGTTTTAATCTTAATTAGCGCAAGAATACTTTTGAACATTTCCAAGAAGCCTAGTGTTTTATTCTTTCTTAAGCCGGGAGGAGGAGGTTCGAGCAACTTCCTGCTGAAATCCACCTCCATCTGCGCGTGACCGATTTGACCTGGAGAGCTCTCCTTTATGCGGTGAAGCGCTTTCGAAAGTGATCGGAATCGCTGGCAGGCCACTTACGTATTCCGTCATTTGGGACGACCCCTGGGTCACGAAAGTAACAGTGGCTCTACGGTGCTGTGACAGACATCAGAGAACAAGAAGAAAGTAGGAGCAAAAGTGGGGCATTTGGCTGGTTCCAAGCCTATGAGAAGTTACTTGTGGGGTTGATGATTTCATTAGATTCGAGCTTCTTTGATCACGGTTGACATTTTTTCGAATGTTCGGAAAATGTTCAAACCGTTGTTGACAATATATTGAAAAATATAAATCTTAATATTGTAAGTGATATTATTAATACAAAATCTGTCATGACCAGATTGAATGCTCAATTTCAAATATGCGACCTTGACGTATCTAACAATGCTGCCATGGATCAATGGTGACGTTCTGTTCAACAACTTCTCTGTTCCTGAACCTCCCGACAGTCCCTTGCTCTGTAGAAGTGCTTAGCTTTTCCTGAGTACTTTTATTCATATGTAGTTATTTTCCCTGTGGCATGGCAACGGTGACGGTGCCGATAATGCTGACATACTTCAGTGCATGTGCATTTATTTAAATGTTCTGTACTTTTCCTTTTGAGAACAAAGGGACTGCAATATTTATTTGGACTGGAAGAAATACGAGTTAAATTGTAAAGGTTTCTTGACAGTAATAATATCAGTCGATATGTGTTGTTGGTGTCTATTGTTTCGGTGGTGGTTACTATTGTTTGGCGAGTGCATACGAAACGTCCCATAATGTGTCCAGATTGGTAAAACCTGTGAATTTATTTGCTTTTTTTCAGTTTTTTTTTTTAAATTTTTGAATTGCGTGTGTGCTGGTGTGGCTAACTCATTATGTGAGTTGCATTTTGTGTTTTTGGAACTAATTTATAATATAGTGTACATAAATATACAGCATTGAAGTATAATTATTATTACGAAAGCCACAAAATGAAATTTCACGCAAAGTATTCATATTTTCCGGTAGTTTAATTTTGAATAATTTCCCGTTCCATTAAGATTTTTGATTTCATAAGGGTCATTAATGATCAGCGAATAAATTGGATTCTAATGAAGAAAATTTGAGAAAATTCACAAGTTCATTGATTTCTCGAAAACCAAGTATTATTTATTAGTTGCTGATATGATTTGACACATTAAAAAATTTGTGAATTAGGAACGAAATAGGAGTCTCCGTGAAATAGGAATGTAATACGAGTCCCTGTTGGATTTCCGACTGTCAGGTTTGCTATTGCAGAAAATTAAACCCTTACAAATATATAAATAAATATGCTTTCCATGCACAACGGTAGTTCTCATTTTATTGCTTCAAAGGGTATGACGTATCGGAGAGTTCTTTATCTCCTTCATCGGGTACTAGGGGAAAAAATAGAAAAAGCAATTAACATTTCAAATATTGAAAGTGTAAATATACAAAACACAAATAGCATTGTGCTCCAATTAAATATGTAGAGTATTATTAGTTTTGTTCAAATTTCTCTGGTTAGAAGTATGTGAATTAAAAACCAGATGGTAGCTTTGGGCGTATTGGTGCCATATTGGAAAATGCCTATCAATATTACCCATGCGGGAAGATGGCGACGGACGAATGTTGCCCGGGCAGACAGCAGGGATTTTTCGTCATTAATTGCCCTGCAGCGCTAAATGCAGGCGCCCGTGACCTTTCGACGGCGCGGCGCGAATCGGAGGAGGGAATCGATGGGGGGTGGGGTGGGGTGGGGTGAGAGGTGCATGGGGGCGTGTTGGCTGCGCAGGGCGACGACTCTGCCGGGTCCACGGACACCATGTCGCTGTGCAAGTCGGAGCTGCTGTTCTCGCCGGTGAAGGACTGCCCGCTGCCCGGCAGCAACTTCAGCGTGGACTCTCTGGACTGCGATCTGCTCACGGAGCACGACATCATGCTCACGTGCCAGGCCAACAAGGACAACTACACCATCGCCTTCGAGGGCAGCGTCACGCTCTACTCGGAGGACTCGGACTACCACGAACCTGGTAAATGGTGTTTTTTTTAAAAAAAAGGTGAAACTTTGCGGCTTCAGTGATTTAACGATTAGCGTATCGGGCTGTTACACCCAAGCGAGGTTCAAACACGATCGAAGTCGGAGGGGAAAACTCCTACGTACGCCTTCCTTCGGAGCGGGAGGTAAAACCGGCTGCCTAATGTTGTAGATTTATTACATTATAAAATCCTCGAGCCTAAAAGAAGTCTGTGCTAAATTCAAATCACCTGTTTCGTCGCCTGAGTGATGCCTTCTTTCTCCGCTAGATGGCGACAGCGTCGCGAAATTTTCCTTAGTCTCGCCAAGTAAAATATGGCATAATTGAATTGAAATTAATGGATACAAGAAATAATAAAATATACAGAAAAGAAGGCGTAGAATCAAAAAGTTCTGTGGTACTACTCCTATACTTAAATGTTACATATTTCAGTTAATACAATTTCTATTATGATGTATTCATGTATATGATTTAGATGTTTGTAAATAAATTAAAAATCGGCTACAAGACCTACACATGGGGTGGTATCTGTTCTTGCCTACTTCGGTATATTTATCAAGTCAGAGTTTCATTTGGTCGACTTTTATGAGAATAGGAAATACAGGGAAAGGGAGACACCAACTGCCAATGAATTTAAGTCACAATGATCGTTACGAAGGGTCCAAAGTATCAAGATGTATCAGATCCTAGATATGGCTGGATTCTTGTTTGTTGCACAAAGTATGGGAGTTTAGGATTTCAAAAGGATATTTGGATTTAAAAATGGCGATAAAGAAAGAAATTAATCAGAAAAAAGTAAAAAAAAAATAAAAAAATTGTTCAAAAAGTCATGTTCAATTCATTTCTAACTTTTTTATTCATTTTGTCAAAATATGATGAAAGGGTATGTTATTGAAAGAGGAAGTTTACCGAAGAATGGGAATTGAGAACTAGAAGTTGAAATCATTTGTTACCTTAGAAGCGAGGTTAATAATGATAATTACTCAGTATTTGGTGGTAAAAAAAACAAAACAGGTCCGATCTGGGAAGAAAAGCATGTTCTTCAACAGCAAGCGTGGGGTAAAAGTAAGACAATGCCGAGGCCAATAGGTGTATTGAACATAGAATTTGATAAACATAAATAATTGCGATACAGTAAAATAATAAATTTAGCTTTCTGAGTCAGAACATCGTCTGGTGAAATAAGACAGGAAATACGTGGATCATCCTATATTCTTCCTTTTGAAGTACCTGAAGCGATAGTAACGCGACTTGGCCGCGTAGGTCGATCAGTGACCGCTGAACGAAAGGGCTCTTTCAAAGGGCTGACCTTCTAACGCCGCCCTTCCCGTGCGCCAGATCTCGACGCCGGCGGCGCCGCTGCGGCGGGCGGGGGCGGCGCAGGCGGGCCGGGCGTCGCCCGCGGCGGTGGCGGCCAGCGCCTGCGCGCTGCGCCTGGGCGCCGGCCGCGCGCGCGCGCCTCGACCCTCCATGCGCCTCCGACTCCGTCTACACCACGTGGAGCAGCTGCAGAAGCGCTCGGCGACGCGCAGCTGGCGTCGCGCGCGCGGCGGCGGAGGCGGCGGCCGCCGCGACGGCCGGCCGGGGGCGGCCACTCCTACGCCCACGCGCAGGCCGCAGCCCGGCGGCTCCCCCGGTCGCGGCGCGCTCAAGAAGCCCAAGGACGCTGCCCAACCTGTCCGCGCCGCCGCCGCCGCCTGCTGCTGCGATCGCTGTCCGGCCGCCTCCGCCCGGCGGCGCCGCCGCCGCCGCCGCCATGTCCCCTCCGCCGAGTGGACACGCGCAGCCCGGCCACCACCGTCAAGCTGTAGACGTGCAGCAGTCGTCCGAGCGTGCTGTTCCGAGACCAACAGCTTCGTGGACGGCGGCGCGTGCAGCACTGCGCAGCGGCCAGCGCCAAGCGGCGGGCGGGCGGCGGGAGTCCCGGGGGCGGCGCGCCCCCCGCAGCAGCACTTCAGCCCTCGTCAAGCTCTTTCATGAAGAGAAAGAGCCAGAGCAAAGCGAGAGGGTCGGCTACGCCATGGACCAGTCCGTCGGCGTCCGAGTGCCTGGCCCGCCCGTCGGTCCCAACAGCGCGTCCGAGGGCCGACAGCGACTCGTTCGCGCAGGAGGCGGCGAGCCGGCTGCCGGACGGGCGGGCCGGGGCGGCGGGCGGGTCCCGCCCCCGCTGACCTGCCCCCCGCCAGCCGCAGCCGCCGCCCCCGTCGCCCCACGCCGGCGCGCAACTCCTCCTCCAACGACACGCCCACCCGCCGGCCGGCGGCGACCGCGAGCCAACGGCAACGACGGCGGCGCGCGCACCGACACCGACCTGGACGTCGCCACCAACAACTGGATCCGCGCGGACGACCTGGCGCCGACGCCGGGCGCCGAGCTGTCGGCCAGCTGCCTCGAGGACAGCCTGGCGGAGGCGGCGGCGCGCCGCCGCCTGGACGCCCCGCGCCCCCGCGCACGCGGACGCGCGCTGCGCCAGCAGCACCTCGACGAGGACGAGGACGAAGAGGAGGAGGAAGAGGAGGACGACGAGGACGACGACGCCTCCGAGCGCTCCGAGTCCGTCGAGCAGCTCTCAGAGAGCGTCTCCAAGGTAACGCACCCGCGCCTCCGCGCTGGGAATAGGGGTGGGCGCGGGGCCAGGGGCCCCTTCCTGCAAACAAGTTTCCCCACTTACTACTAAGGGGTTCACTACCAAAACAGATAAAGTTCATTTGGCATGACTGTAACAAATTGAGCTTCAAAGCTTTCAACTGATAATTAATTCCAGTGAAGTAATAAAATATTAACAAACGCTCTACACCATTATGAGAACTCAGCAATTGGTTCACTATGGCAGAGAACAGAACTTGATTGCCTTAACCATCTAATCACATTATCACATTTTTCTTAAAACGTGGACTTGGCCTGTTTTTGTTGTGAACCCCTCAATTATTCTTTCCATGTAACGGAACCTACTAACACAGCTTCATTTCAATTAGTTCATTGTTTTCTGTTCGTATGGGAAAAATCGAGGTTTCCCAATTAAATTGTAACCTAGGGCAAGTTCCCCCACTTGCCCCCCCCCCCCCTACCCGTTCTGCGCATCCCTGGCTTGCTCATGTTATCGTCGACTTAGCATATACTAAAAGCATACTATTTCACAATTACTTCTTACTAATTTCACGAAGATAGAAGGTTTGCTCCAAACGATTACTCTTACTTGTTGGCAACCGTTTGCATGTGCTACTTGCTTCACAAAAAACGCGTCTCTGGCGCGTAAAAAAAATTACATTTCTCCTGATTTAGATATGGGTCGCGAGATGTGTTGGCTTTTCGTCACCAAAATATGATTATCTAAGTATGTAGTCTTCCAAATCGAAAAACAGATCGAGCGGAGCATAAATACACCCTAGCATAGCTGTTTAATTGTTTGAAGTAATAACTTGAAGATAGGCTGAAATAGAAGTTAGCATTACACTACACATCGGAATTAAAAGAAAAAGCATAGAGCTACCTCGTACGGGGCTGATACGAACGGATCAATTGTTATTACTTCGATCTGTAACTGCCCAAAAATGAATATATCTACGTATCAATAAAATTATTTAATTGTAATTTGTTGGGCATTGTATTACATCAAAAACGATGAGTAAAAATTCCTTAGTTCTCTGAAACGTGAGAATGCAGAAAAGTAATTTGAAATTTGTGGCATTCAAAGCATGCAGTGAATACGAAACAAAGCAAAATTGCTCGAAAAAAGGGAAAATTTGGTTTCTATTCTTATTTTATTACATTTTTCTGGTTTCATGTTGAGATACAACATCTATATAAAATAGTTCACTAGTTCATCTGTACTAAGCTGTAGGTCGTTTCAAGGTAAATAAATACTTTCGTGGATATTTATGTTGATACGAACTTCATACTTGAACTGTGAGCTCTGCAAACATCTATCAGTGTGAAAACGTGTATTACTCACCGCGCTGAACGTGCTTCTTACGGAAATACTGAATCAAGCGGATGGGCGGTTGACGCGTGCACGGTCAGCAGTCGCGACTTGGCGGTTGCCCGTGGACGTGCGTCAGCGGTGTGTCCTCCTGTCGCCAGATCGAGGAGTCTGCGCTGGACCTGGGCGCGAGCAGCTGCGGCAGCAGCGGGCCTCTGTCGCTGTCTGGCGCGCCCCCGGCCCCGCCCCCGCCCTCCGCCACCTGCCGGCCGCGCCTGCCGAGCGCCAACAACAACTCCGCCCCGTACG